GGAGGTCAAGATCGCCGCCGAGCGTGAGGAGCTGAAGCGCGCCAAAGTCTTGCAGAGCCAGCAGTACCGCGGTAAGACGGTACAGCAAATCACGGAGTAATAATAAAATGATAAAGGACATATCTTGGTTTATTAAGATATATATGAGTTTATGAAAAAAAACTCAGAGTTTTTGGCTATGACCTAGACCCTTTTGTAAATTTTTTGTCTTGATCGACACCGAATCTATGTCTTTCTGCCAAACGAATGTAAATAGTCACCCTCTATTGCCTCTGATGATTATATTAACGTTTTCATTTTTCTATGTCTTCTGCCTCCCTCTTGGCTCCCTCACTTCCCCTCCTATAACCAATGTGTGTTAATCTCTTTTTTTTGCTTTTGATGGAAAAGGAGAAGTTGGCTCGAGGTTTATTATATTGGTGTACCTATCACTTTTCTATAGATGCACAATGATGTCTATAGTTCTACAAAGAGAATGTCGTATCTTTTCTCTTCGGTACCTTTTATTCTGAGATGAACGTGTTCACGAATAGAAGGGTGTATTTTGTACCGAAAACAAGTGTATTTCAATTATTAAAGGTAAGCAGGAACGGCAATAACACAAACTCAGTCATTTTCTTAGGATTCTCTCTTCAAAAGGGTTGTGTTGGTCCAACTACACCAAGTCCCCCTTTCTTCTTGGAACCAATTTTGTCTGACCAAAAACATGTCATGATGTATTTAATTTGATTCGTCTTTTTTATTATTGTTTGGTTGTTTTGGGCCTTGTTCGTTTCAGTTTTTCCCCTACCCCTCTGACATTAGTTGTGTAGTAACCCAAAATGATAAAAAAGAACTATGTTGGATAACTTTATGGAATATATTTTTTGGAAACCATAGCATGTGAATGTATAAAAGGTGTACTGCGTCCAAGACAAATTATGTATCCCGTTAGCATTTCTGAGCTTCTCTCCCCCCTCTTTGAGAGATGCCATGTAAAGCGTGTGAATTGAATTTAATATACGGTCTATGACATCCTTCTACAACTCTATCCCTCGTTTTCTTCTATGAAAGCTTTTTTTTGGTTGGTATAGTGTTAGTGAAGCGTTTATTATCATTATTTATTCCATCCACATTAAGTATTTATTGACGGATCCTTTTAGGGGGAAAATTCATTCAAGGTTCGCTTTTCCTAACCAACGAGCCCGCCGAGAGTAGTCATGGCCACCACCGCTGCGAACTCCAAGATCCCCCCCCTTGACATCCCCTCCATCCGCGACACTTTTCTCTGTGACAACCCGGACGAGAGGGAGAGGGGGAGGGGGAGGATCTCGAATGGGGACCCCTTCTCAGGTCCTACAGACCCCCCTGTCCTGTCACAGCCCCCCCTCTCAGGTCCTACAGACCCCCCTGTCCTGTCACGGCCTCCCCTCCCGTCCTCTCACACCTCGACCCCGGCGCGGGAACGGCCCTCGCCCATGGGCCCCAACGCCCTCATGGGCTTCCTCGGGGATCCCCACGAGACGGGGCCGAACCCCACTGCGACGCCGTGCTCATCGGTCTCGAGCCTCCGCATCGCGAGCGTGTCGCGTCTCGGGGCCCTGTCGAAACCGATCATAGGGCGGCCCCCTTCGACGATGCCCTCCCACGGCTTCGCAACATACGGGTTCGAGATCGCGAAGACCCTAAAGGAGATCGTGCATGGCCGCGATGAGGGTGTCTTTCTCCGCGTCCTGCCCAAATCCCAACTCATTGGTCAACTCATCCTCCAGGAGTCGGGCGCGCGTGATTTGATGGGGCTGCAGGAGGCGAACCTCCGCATGCTCCTCACGCACAAACGCGTGGAGGAGCGGGCGAAGAAGGAGGAACAGCAGCTCAGCCGCCGCTCTAAGGAACGTCAGGAGGAGCTGAAGAAGCGGTATGCGGAGGAACTCAACGAGCAGAAAAACTCCGTGATGCTGTACAATGCCGGACTGGAGAAGGGGCTCAGGGAACGACTCAAGGCCCTCGCGCAGCTGCAGCCCCGCCTGAACCTCGTCAACGTGGTCCTCGCGGCGATGAAAGACGAGTCCAACGACCTCTCCCTCACCGCGGAGCTCCTGGAGGAGGCCAAGAAGCTGCAAAAGGCTCTCAAAACAGACAGCCGCTTTAACAAGACGGCCACACCTGAGCTTGACGGCGGGGCGCTTCCCTACTGGCTAAAGCACTGCATCGTAAGCTCTTTTAATGTGGCGGCGATTGTAAAAGGCTCTCCCTACCGCGCCGTCGTTCTGGACGCCCCGAACCTCCGTTCAAAACTCCTCGCCGATCGCAAAATCATCGCGATCCGCGAGGTCGCACTTTCCGAGAAGATTCTTTCGTGGGCGCACACGCGGATCGCCCTGCCCGACGCAGGGGCGGCCGTAAAGGCCTTTTTGGAGTTCGCTGAGGGCGATGCGGGGGCGCCGGCAGGGCTCTGTCAGGGCGTCGTGTGGACAAAAGAGGTCCACCCCAGCATCGCGCGCGTGGCGAAAGCAGCGGGGAGCTCCATCCCCAGCCAAAGTGTCCTGAGCCTCGGCGACGTCTCGTCGATCGAGCTGACGACAAAAGAGGTAAAATCGATTGGAGAGGCCGCATCGGTGTAGTCATTAGAAGTTAAGAGGTAGGGGTAAGGAGAGTGAGGGCGGATTATTTCCGGCGCAATTGCGTCTTTGTTCTCCAATCCCTTTTTCTGAAAACTCTATGGGCTGTTGTGAACCAACTGCTAGGACTGCTATGGGCATGTGTGCTCTGCCTTCGGTAGATATTTTGGTGTGGAATAGTGAACTTAACGCAGTTGATCCTTCTGTATCTATTGGTCCGTCAGATGCGCAGTTTACCTTTTTCACAGACATTTGTTTTTACCTGGAATTTATTTTATACTATCATCTCTATTAATCTTAATTATATATATATATATATATATACTTACATATATGTATATGATTGTTGTTAATTTACACACATGATGTGTGTAGCACTTGTTTGGTTCGCAAACATACTGGGAAAGAATAAAAACAAAAATAAAGTGAAACGGTAGATACGAAGAGAAATAATATAAAAGATATCCTTTTAAAATATATAATATAGTCGATCAGGAACTATTGTAAAGGGTGGAACTAGAAATATGCAGATCATGGATGGTTTCTACATAAACATATGTATTGCCGAATAGTATGCACCACCTTTTTATACATAGGTGTCTAGTCTGGTGAAAATTCTTAAACACTTTGTGAGCGAATAAGAAGAGTTCTTCACATAATACTAAGTTTCCGTTCGCATACTTGCATTTACTATGTACTTCTCGATTCGAGAATTATACACACAGACAAAAGATCATATTATTGTTATTTCCACAACTGCATTATTTAAATAGATTTTGTATTGCTTTATTTTGGTATCATCATTATCAACACATACTTGCCTTGATGGATACTAGCAAGGTTTTAAAAATCCGTTTTTTTGTTGCTGTTGTTGTGTCAAAGGGCTAAAAAAAATACCAGCAAAACCACACTCAGTCTATCCCTATCTCCTTTATGACCCGCTCCTAAAATGCAATCTTTAACCCAATATATATTATTCGGTTAATTAACATGGAGTTGAAAGAATAATCGATTAGCCTTTGCGGCTTTGATTTCTATATATATATATATATAGTTACTCCTTAT